TAATGTGGGCATTGTGATTACATTTTAGTAACAGCAAACTGGGAAGCAAAACCCCTTTACGTGTGTGTCAGTTATTGTAGGTGCTGTATAAGCAAGGAGAAGAGTGTGGAAGAATGTATACCAGGCTGTTAGCAGGTAGCACATGGCCAGCTGTGGTTTTCTGCATCTTTGTGCCAATGGATATTCATGGGATGGATGAATAAGAACTGCCCCATAATGGTGAGACGGGTTGGCCTGTACGGTCGTGAGCATTCACTAAACCTTGAGGACCGAGTAGGTACCTTCTTGCTCAAATCATAAACCCTTCTGTTTGTGTTTTCTTTTAGCTACATTTTGACATCTGGCTAACCTAGATGGTTTCATGAGTGAATTAAAAACCAAGAGAGCATAAATAATCAATTCCTGTCCTGTATCCAACTTGCTTAATAGATTCTTCTGCCATAATTTCCTCTTCTGCAAATTGGGAATAATAGGCTTTCTGTGAGGTTAACGCAATTAGACTGGTTAAAAGATATTTACATGCAGAAAGTGCCACAGAGTTTCCCAGTACATGTGAGTGAAAACTCAAATTTGTCTTTTGTGACATCCAGCCAGTTGGTTATGCTACGGAAAGTTCTGTGCATTATGAAGCAACACTTTGATCCACCTCCAAGTTGAAAATATCTGAACAAATGTCACCCTTCTCCCAGAACCCTTAAGACTGAATTTTCTTCCACTCTGGTTCTGGGCGTTAAGTGGGGATCTGGCGGAGGGAGAGCCAAATCCCGGGCTATTCCTAGTACAGAAGCTTTCTCATGAGTTTGTACGGTGGCCAGGCTGTATCTTGGGACTCCTTGTAAACCGCTCTTGAGTCAGAGCATCTCAAGAACAAACTCAAATTTGAGCGAAACCTCTGAGGGTTGTAGCCCAAGCTCACGGGTCAGGATAAGCATACACAACTCGGACAAGTGAGGGCTGAGCTCTACCTGAGATGGCCTCTGGGGGTGAGGGAGAAGGCAGATGTTCTTCAAAGCCATATTCGATTCTGTAGGAGATTCTCCACACAAAACAGTCTTAACACTGCTTCTCACTTCTCCCTGATAGAGGATGGGCGTCGCCTCAGCCCGTAGACTGTGGGGGCCTCTCCCTCCTGTCTTTAATTGTATTTCTTTTGCATTACCTGATACTTAGCTGATGTCCATTGACCATTTCCTTCAGGCAAGAAATCAAGAAAGAAAGGAAGAAACGAAGGTATGAGGCACCGAAGTCCTCTGCCCATGCTTCCCCCTGATGTCTCTCCTTTCTCAGAAGTGCCACTCCCGGGAGTCAAGTTGTGCATTCTTCATAATAAGATTTATCCTGAGTCAATTTTGTCATCTATAAAATGAATTTAACGATGCTCTCTTACTAATATGGTTATTTTGAGGACTTAATAAGATAATTAAAGTAAAGTACGTAGAACATTGCCTTGAAGAGCCATTGCTCATTAAATCATCGCTCTAATGATTATTATCGTTAGAATAGTGTTAATACTATTCAGTTGTCATTTCACATTTATTTTGTCTTAGTAAGGATAGGATGGCTTTAGCATTCTGACACATGCGAAGAAATGCCAAGGTAAGAAGTCATGCACCAGGCAGACAGCTGTGTTAAAGAGCATCTCACAAGCAGCTCAAATTTCACTCCCTGTTTATATGCACCGCTCAGGTGAGGAATTACTCTATTAGATGCATCACTGGAAACCTGAAGTGGTGCGATATTCTTGCCTTGTCATTCACGTGAGCAAAATCCTTTAACGTTCTCCAAATGGCAAAAGCATCATTTGCTTTCTCATCTCTTCCTGTTTCCCTCTCATACATACTTATTATCCCTAACTGAGTTTATTCAGCTCTTCCAAGCACAGCCTTAGAATACACAGTTGTAGCTCTGAAGGTCGTAGGGCCCAAGATGGAGAGAATCCAGCTTTTTCTTTTATTTCTAGAGTATTGGAATAAATTGCAAAAGGCTAGAACTTGGCTAGATAGAAGCCCTGTATCACATCACATGAGATGTTTAAATATTCATGCAGTGTGTACTGGCAGCCAACAGGGCTGCAAACTTTTCCCAGGGAAAGAGAAAAGAGAATTTCTGAATTTCACAGCATTCCAAAGTGGCTGCCACAGACTAAAACCTTAAGTGCTGACTTTGGTTTTATCTCTTAGGCACATGTATTTTTTATTCAACTGAGGGCAGTAGGCAAATGGTTGTATGCATTTCCAAGTATCCTTCTGACTATATTACAGGATCAGATTCTGACATTAATATAAAAATTGATTGTACTGTCAAAGCCATCTCCTTAATAATTACTAATAGCTTGTGACAATAACTGACACAGTCCCTTCGCAGTCAACAGATTCACTTTCATAGGAAGATGTGGTTTAAGTTATATGAGCATTTGAGCTATAGAATAAATCAGACTGGAGGAAGGACTGAGTTTCTTGAGCACAGTGGCTGCAACTTGAAGTCATTTCACTCAGTGAAATCAACTGACACCACTGTCTTCGTTAGCTTAGTGAAGATGCCAGAAATGTAGGTGTTTATTAATTGCTTTGTTTCAGTTTTAGCTGACATATTTCCCCCATCATAATTAAGTTTTTTGTTGTCCTAATTCACACTGATGAATTTTAGTTAAAACACAGTAATTTTGACATTTCAGATAACAACATAAAAGCAAACCTTGGTGCTGTCTTGAACCTTAAATCCTTTCTTCAAATTAGTATCTATTTAGTGGAACTCTACTCCACTTTGTTTTTTATAACTATATTCACAAATTCTGATTTTATAAAGTTTGAATCCTCTCAATTTGGCATACAAAAATATAATCCTTAAAGACATTCATTTATCAATTTTCCCCTTCTAATAGTATTGATCTAAAATGTAAATTTAGGTAAAGCAAGAATCAGTACATTAGAAGTTAAATAAAAGGTCACTTGGAATGTCTGTACTCAGCGTTCTTAGATGATTGATATTACGTAAGAATTGGCCATTAGTCTAGTAGACTCATAGACATAGAATACAAACTTGTGGTTGCCAAGGGGGCGGAGGGTGGGAAGGGATAGACAGAATTTCAAAATTGTAGAATAGATAAACAAGATTATACCGTATAGCACAGGGAAATATCCATAAGATCTTATGGTAGCTCACAGAGGAAAAAAATGTGACAATGAGCATATATATGTTCATGTATAACTGAAAAATTGTGCTGTACGCTGGAATTTGACACAACATTGTAAAATGATTATAAATCAATAAAAAATGTTAAAAGAAAAAAAGAATTGGCCATTAGTCAATATAAGGTAAGGAAAATTAACTAGTCACTACTCTTAAACTCTACTTTTAAGAAATTTCTTTCAAAAAGTGCATAAACCACCGTTAGTTACTTGAATAATACAGGCATATATGTGTCCATAAATATGTATGTGTACTGACACATATGTAAGGCGTAGATCAAGGAAATACATTCATAGAAAGTCATGTTTTTTTTTTCATATTTCAGATGTACATTACCAACACCATCAAAGCCAAAGGAACAAGGCTTGCCAAGCCCGTTCTCTGCCTGGGCCTAATGTGTTTGGCCTTTCTCACCGGGCTCAACAGAGTGGCAGAATATCGAAATCATTGGTCGGATGTGATAGCAGGCTTTCTGGTTGGAATATCTATAGCAGTATTTCTGGTAAGTACAAATTTATGTATGTAGATATAATTTGGTTTTTTTAATTAACTTGTATAACTACCTATTAGAAAATACAGGTGTGAATCACTGGGTTCAGTTGTCTAACGGCGGTATATCAAATGGAATGAAAGACTTTTAAGTCATTCATTTTTCTTCCTCCTCCCTCATTTGTTCTGCCTAAAGTCTGGTTTGGGGATGAAAAAAAATGTATATTCTACATATAAAGGTAAAGAAGAAAATATTTTCATATAAAATGGAATGAGGCTAAAAACATTCATTTCTCCCCAGGTGGTTTTTTAGACTGGGTTGTTTGAATATTTTAAAAATTTCCTCATGGCACTTTTGCATCCTGGAGTGTGTAGAGCATCCCAAATCTCCCTAGCGCCTCAGCTCAGGGCTGTCCCTGAGCCGCCATGTCATAGCGCTCGCTAGCAGGGAAACCTCGCTTGGGAGGTGAACCAGTTACCTGCAGTAACTAACAATCCCTGGGTGGTTGCCAAGACAATGTCATCTCAACTCAGATTTTGCCAAGTCATGAAGAGCATACGTAGTGACTTCTAATGAAGTGAGCATGCCATCTCTCCTCCTATTATATAAAATCTCCTTGGAACATTTCTAGGTTTTAGTTGTTGGAAAATATACTTCAGTCTGGCTTTAGAATTAACCAGTCCATTGTAAGTATGGATATATAACAGTTTACCCAAGCGGAAAAACGTGTAGACGACCATATAAATCAAACCATATTTTTGCATTGACATATTATAAGAAACACTTTATTTTCAGTTTAGTTACATTTAAATTGTTTCTCAAGGGTAACTTTCCTTCTTCAGTTTCTTTTCACTAGTTCATAACCAGTAAGCAACAACTTTTATGAACCTTTCCAACTACCAGAGATTTGAGCACTGTTTATGTGCCAGGCACTTTATACAGGCTGTTTCTTCTAGAACTTCCTGTGGTAACGTGGAGACCATTCCCTGATCCCTCTCCAGACCCTGTGCTGGTTTTCTGCTTGATGTCGCTCCCTCCACGTCCAGGGTCCCTGGGAGACGCGGGCTTGTCCCTGTCTCTCTTCCCTGGAGATTTTCTATAACCTTGGGAAAACCAGGGCCCAGGCTTGTGCCAGAACCTTTCCCTTGCTTTCACTCATCATGGTTGAAATAGTCTAGCTTTTTATAAAACAAAACAAGATGAAAAACTTACAGAAATCCTAAGAAAGTAATCACAGGCGAGGCAAAGAGCATTCCACAAGTCCAAGTTTTAAAGCACTGGTGTTGGAGGGAACTGCATTTCAGCTCCACGGATCCCGAACATCTTTGCTGGCATCCCGTTGGGCTTCGTCTCAGCTTCCTGGGGCTGTTGCCTTCCCTTTCCTGCCAGTGGACATCTTGACACCTCGCAAGGCTAAATCTAGAGCTGTCGGGTTTTCCCTGTCACTTCCTCGTCTGAGAACCGGGTGGTGAATGATGAATTGGACTGTGGGTCCCCCTTGGGCTGAAGACCTTCCTACTGCACATACTCAGAACGTACCGTAGGGCCCTTCACACATTCCCACATACCCAGGAGAGTGACCTTATAAAAAGGCCATGTGAAAACGCTTTAACCATGTGATAACTCAGCCAGCATCTCTGCATTCATTCACAACCATTTATGAATGTGAGTGCCTACAGGTGCCAGGCAAGGTGCCAAGAACCGGGGCGGCAAGGAGGTTCAGATAAACTTGACCTGTCTTCTGTGGGAGCTTGGTTCGGGGGTCAGACCGTAATAGTCAGGTCATCCCCCAAACATTCCCAAACATTCTTCCTTCATAAAAATAAACATTCACTGAGATCCAAGCACTGTGCTTGATCATGGGAGTAAATACATGAAAAAGATGCAGTCCAGGTACTTAATTAGACCACAGTCAGGTGGGACACAGTGGACACAGAGAGTTCTGTAGAGGGTCAAAGGTAATGGTAGAGGTGTGTATACCCAAGAGATCTACTCTGTTGGGATTAGGGACAAATCAGAAAGAGGAGATGGCATATAAACTTGCAAAGTTTGTAAAGCAGGTAGGTCTAGCCTGGGGCATAAGGAATGAGAGGAAAGGAGCACAGAGCACAGAGGCGATATGGACTATTTCATCAAATAAGCACGTATGAGGCCCCTGCTGTATTCCAGGCCCAGGACGCGATGTGCGTATGAGAGAACGTGGCAGCCGGGAATGGTACCGGTCACCCAGCACAAGTGGCGAGAAGGGAGTGCAAAAGCCCCCAGAGGGAATATCCTGAATGGCCTTGTATGTTATGAGAAAACCTTGGGATTTTGTTTAAAAATATAGCTGATTTGGGAGCTTCCGTCAGGGTCTGAGTTGAAACAGGAAAACAGCCTGGTTGAATCCCAACTGCTTTATGGTGCTCGGTTTGTGCCACTGGACAACTTCCCTGGCGGCAGTTTTCTCCTCTTCAAATGAGGCTATTCACAGCCTCTTGGAAGGATTATTGTGAGGCTTTATAAAGGTTTAACGAATGGCCACATGGACAATGGAAATAATTCCCAAAAATAAGAGTTGGTTTCCTTTTGGTCCCTTTCACTCTGTGATAAAATTTGTGCTTTGAAATACGTTTTCTGGAAAATAAAGCTCCAGGTGAGGATAGAGGAGACAAGTTATACAGAACCAGGGAAATAAGACGGTGCAAACAGGGCGCCGGTGGGCACAGAGAGAAGGGAGGCTATCCGGGAGGTGAACAGTGTGGAGGCTGGTGGAACACTGGGGATGTGGGGACAGAGGTGGAGAGCAGTCTTTGACGGTTCTCGGCTTTCTCATTTGGGCAACCAAGTAGAATGTTTATTTGAAGCAGTGACTACTGCTCTGGCCTGCCATGTCCTGGGGTGTTTCCAGTTATCCTGCAGTGTGTGCAGATCTCTAAAGGGATTCCAAACTAAAATATACACTAACCTACTCCAAGACTCTGTGTGTCGGGTAGGCACTCACGTGTCCCGTCACCCACACCTTATGTCTAGCGTTTGCCTTTGACTCACTCTCGTCGTTCGTCCCCCCACCTGGTGACTCATCTAGTGCCAGCTCATTTCCACTACAAAACATTTCTCCCGCGTCTGGTTTCTTCGCTGTTCTGACCATAGCCTCCCAATTGTGGAGATCAATACTTCTTGCCGCTATTATGTCTGTTGGTTCCAAATATCTCCCATTCTGCTTCTATACACATGATAACAGAATTCACTTCTCATAACAAAACCAGACAAACAAACGAGAAACAAACCTCTTTCCTGCTGCCTTAAATCAGACACTTCCACCGTACTTATGGGACCCTCCCTGATCAGGCTGATTTTGTCCTTTTTTTTTTTTTTTGTCCTTTTTGCTGGATGTGTCATTGAACAAGTCACTTAGCCCCTCAGTATTCTTAAAATAGTGAGGCCTCCCCTGAGCTGTATTTAAAATAATTACCCCTCCCCCAGGACTCCATTCTTCATTTCCTATTCACTTTCCTCCTGACTCAACTTTTAATATACCACCTATAGTAATTTTGGTTTTGTTTTTTGCTGTCAAACCCACTAGAATGTAAGCCAGTCATGGAGAAGGAGTTTGTTTTCATCACTATGTATTCCCAGTACCCTGGTTCTGGTCCATAGGAGGTTCTCAGGAAATATTTGATGAATGAATGAATGAATGATTTGCTTCCCAGAGCTCTTTTGAGGGTTAAGTGAAATTACGTATGTAGTCAGTGCAGCGGAATGCGTGGTGCAGAGAAGGCTCTGGATGTCATGGTCTTGACCTTTGATGACTGTATGCAGATCCTTTATGCACCTGACATTTTTCTCAGACAAATCCCAGCTTCCCCAGGAAGTGGCCCTGATTACTTGATTCTCCCATTTTTCCTGAATTTCCACTGCACTTGAAGTCTGTCTTGTTACAATCAAAGAATTACCTTCTGTACTAAATTTATCGCTCTCATGTGCCTTTTCTTCATAGTTGGAGAACACAGTCCCTGTGCTTAGGAAAATGCAAAACAAATACTCGTTGAACAATACTTGTAGACTGATTCATATTATTTTACAAAAATGTATGCCTCAAAGCACTTACAAGAAAGATGTACATTACAGTGTCAGACAGAATAGTTCAAGTTCACTGAGCGAAAGCAAGAGCTTGTCAGGTTATCATATGTAACACCATCATCATCATAATCGGAGTTATCTGAGTGCTCTGTGCTACATTAACTCAATCCTCACACAGCATGTTGAGATGTGGTTATTATTGTCCTCATTTTGCAGATAAGACAAACGGGTCCAGTTATATCAAGTAACTTGCCCAGGCTGACAAAGCTAGTAAGTAAAAGAGCGCAGGGTTAAGCCCCAGCCCTGTTTGACCTCAAAGCCCATACACTTAAATAAAACAGAGATGTTTTATTTGCCAAAATGAAGAGGGGAAATGGGCACAAGTGGATCAGATTACTTTATTATCGCTACTGGGAAAGGAAAACACAGATCTGTGTGTAAGGGTGACTTACTAGTGTCTTTTTTTGGAGGAAAGGATAGAATTACACTCATGGAAACCACTAATGTAAAAATAGGATGTTTTAAGAGAAAGTCACTTTCCATTATATAGTAATGTCAGAAAATTTGAGAAATTGTAGCCTGGATACATGCTCATTCATTTAATCTGTTCGTTTACTGTGGCACTTGAGAATTCAATGGTGGTCAAAATAATTTAAAAAAAAACAGAAAGCATGTCTGCTTCCATGGAGCTGATAACCTTGGAAGAGACTCACATCAACCAAAATATTTTGCTAACTGACGGATGACGTCATATAGAGGTTGGTGTTTTGGTGAAAATAATCACAGGTCCTCATGAGCAAACAAACAAAGACAGCCTGGGGTCAGGGAAGACTAGTGAGGAAGTGATGCTGGGATGAGGCGCCACAGATCTCAGTAAGAGATGGTGCCCAAAGACGGTGGACATGAGTATTCCAAACAAAAGGGAGGGAAAGAGACTAGAAGGTGTTTGGAAAACAGAGAAGAAAAGCTGAAAGGTGGACCAGAGTTTACACTTTAAGAGAAATGAGAAGCCAAGCCACAAAGTGGTTTTAAGAAGGTTAACATGATACAATTTGCATTTTAGGAAGATCATTTTCACATCATTGTAGAAATGGGTCAGAGGGAGCCAAGATTAGATTTAGGGAGACTTTAGAGAGCCATGCGTGAATCCAGGCAAGCGGTGGTGATTGCTTCGTCCTTGGAGTTGGTGATGGAGGTAGAACAAAGAAGATGCAAGAAATCAAAATCTTCAGGAAGGAAAAACGGAGCAAATGGCTCGAGTGGTTGAGTCTAGGAGCTGCCCACGTTTTCAGCCTTTTGCACCTGCATTAAAGAAGTGAGATTGTGGGGGTTCTTGCCTTTCCCTGAGAGGGTCCAGAAAAAGACCAAGTTCTGGAGGAGGGCCAGGGGATAGGCAAATCTTGGTTTTATTTTGAACACATGTCGAATTCTTCATACCTTTGCCAACTAGAGAAATGGAGCTAACTTGCTAATCTGTTGCAGTCTTTTCACTTTCAAACCGAGAAAACTGAGACCCAGAGGGCTGTCCCAGAAAGCGCAGACTGAGGACCAAAATCCACATCTGTTGCTATTTCCTATGAGCATTTTTCTGATAGGAAATCAATTTCACACTTGTGCATGTTACCAGGTAATACTTACTAAATATTTGAGCACGATTCTAAGGAAGACTTGGTAATTTCCTTCAATATAATTTAAATAATAACAGTATTGAAGAATAATCATTATGCGAATAGATACCATCTAATGAATATCTACTATGCGTCAGATATTTAAATATTTCACGTATGACTTCTTAGCTGCTTCAGTGGTATTGTCCTGACCCTCAATTAAGGCACAGAGGTAATTGATAATACCTTTTAAATGGTTTTCCAACCTAAATAGTATAAAAAGCAATTATTCTAATTTCAGGAGCCCCTATGAACTCTAGATGAACGTTTCTTCATCTAATGACTTCCATTTGTCTATGTAGCTCATTATTAATTTCAGCAAGATTTAATTGAGAAGAATTTGTAGCAATTATTTTTCCTCCTCCAATTTTCTATTAATTTATAATATTAATAAAAAGGGAAATGTGAGTGTGTGTGTGTGTGTGTGTATTTTTCATGAAATGGGTGTGAAACTGCTGTTTGTTATGTTGTTTGTTGGCTAAAATTGTTGATTCTCTCCTTTGCTCTCTAGGCAGTGGTCAGTTGGTGAACTATAGCCCATAGGCAAAATTTGGCCTGCTGCTTATTTTCGTAATTAAGAAATGTTGTATTGGAATACTGACATACCCATTTACGTGTGAATTGTCCATGGATGCTTTCACACGAGAGCTGAGTACTTGCTGCACAGATTGCCTGCAAAGCCAAAATATATATTATCTGCCCATTACAGACAGAATTTGCTGACCTCTGGTTGAGGGTAATTACTGTCTATTAGTCCTTTGCAGGGTCATCATTTGATAGAAGTTTTATCAAGTAGCCATCTCCAAGCCTTTACTGTCCCTTGCTTGAAAGATCATGATGGCAGTGATGAAGTTGAAGTGCACAAATTATCAGGCTTTGATCTGTGCTTCTCATCTGTGATTATTCAAGGAAGTGGAAAGATGATAAGTAGATAGCAATTTGTAAGGAATTTTGTTTTTTGAGAGAAAGTCTCAAAGTATGTGATATTTTGTAGATTTGTAAATTTTACTTATAAAGCTGGAGAACAACCAAGATCTAATTGGCCTTTGAAAATATAATGAACCCTACTAAAGGAAATGCTTTCCAAAGGAAGATTTGTGAAAAGTGTACAATGTAAGTGTGTAATTATGTATTAAGCATTTTTAAACTGAATGTGAGGTTATAACTGCAAGTAAGTTCTATATTTTGGTTTGATAATTGAATAAAATAATCCAGCAAAGAAGGCTCAAGAATGTCTTACCCACTAGTTCATTATAAGCAAATAATAACAAATAATTTTCCGTATGGTTTCATTTACTCTTTCTTAAAGTTTGATCCATCTGCATCTGAAGCTTCCAGAGTGCATTTTAAAAGGGGCGACTCCTAGACACCATCCTTTATGGATGAAGTCAGAATTTTTAGGGGAAAGCTTAATAATGTGCGTTTTTAACAGTGCCAGAACGTTGTTTTTATGCACACAAGGGTATGAGAACTTCTGGTTTAGTTCAACTCCTGTCATCTATGGGCTTTAAGCAACTGAAACGAGGTTCAGTTTCCTCTGTGTAGAAGGTCTTCTCTTTCAGCAGTAGCCCTCGTGTGCTGCGGCTGAAACACCAAGTGTATACAGGATACGGTGATAGACAATAAGCTGGGTTAATTAAAGGGACGCCACTAAATTAGAAAGCGCCTATTGTACAAGGTTTATTATGAATGTAATGATCTTGACGCAAAGGGAAATAATTAGCATTTAAATTAAGTTGTAGGTTAGCCACATTAAGGAAAGGTTAGCTCATTGTGAATTTTTATAAGGCTATAATGTTATTTTTGGATTGATTTGAGCATTGACTGTAACCTCATTTAATGGAAGCTTTGGAATAATAAAATCATCATTATTAACTGAGCTAGGTATTAATTGATGAATGTTCTTGAACAAATTTACACTGGAATAACTATTAAAATTTACACAAGTTAAATCTGGATGTAAAGTTATAGATGTGTAATATTTAAATAATTTCAAAATTTTATTACTATGATTAGATTTATAAGGCTACTCACAAGGGTCATAGTCATAGGCAGCATGGCTTTGCTTTAACTGTATTTTTTTCCTGAAATTTTAGGTGGTGTGTGTGGTAAATAATTTCAAAGGAAGACAACCAGAAAATGACCATATACACACAGATAATCTGGCACAGATGCCAATGATCAGCATTCCTCGTGTAGAAAGCCCTTTGGAAAAGGTAACATCTGTACAGGTGATTCATAATTTAAATCCTAAAATGTGATTGTTATCTAGAGCAAATGAATGATTACTCCTGAGGGTTCCTGCACATTTCTGATTTACTGAAACAAGCTCAGAGTCTAATGTGGTATTTAGCAAGAATTTAGTCACCGAAGACGTCATCTTAGGAAAATGCATAGCACGTGGAAAATTTTTCTTTGAATTCCTCATGCTAAAAGCTGAGCGCCTGTACATGGAATATGTTCTGTACTTTGCCATAGCTTCAAGATAAGGAACACTGTGCAGTGGTCTGAAACATGAGCAGAATAATAAGATAGTTTTACTTGAGAATATATGCAGTTTTCCATAATATTCCATTTCTTCCATGCTTTATTTATATGAGGAACTGCTTAGTATAACAACTGATGCATAATCAGGACTCAGTAAATATTTATTGAATCCAAGTATATGAAGTTCCAGCATCAGAGAAGCACCAGTCGTGTGCTCCTAATCGGGGTGGCACTGAGGATCAGGTTGAGTTAAATGGAGCCAAGCTAGGTAGCACTTTGATTGGCAGGTCAAAGCCTCACTGGGCCTGTCAGTGAACAGAGAAACCAGGCGTACAACAGTTAAGTTTCCTTGAGACTTCTGTGAGCTGGATAGGGTAGTATTTCTTAAATAATGATGCAGTTATGCACATTTGTAACTGGTTACATGACCGCACAGAGGGTTACTAATGGCTTCTCCTCAGCCCTGTCCATGTCCAGATTTTGATCAGTATCTTAGATGAAGAGTTCAGTTACATGAAGAGTTCAGTTACATACTAACTGGGGGTTTAGATGGTGTGAATCTGTAAGGGATCATTATAATACGTTGGGTGAAAGAATAAAAATTCTTGAAAAATTACAATAAAGATACAACTGACAGTTAACTGGAAATAAAGAAAATGTTTTAAATTTGGATTTCAAAAAAAGTTCATGTCGGGTAGGTTACATCTACGTAAACTGTACAAATGAAAAGGCTCCAAGGGTGTAGGAGTCCACCGCCCAGCATGTGTCAACAGCATCACGTGGCTGCCAAGAGTTAATATGATTTTTAAGTCCCATGCACGGAAAATTATATCCTAAATGAGGCGACCGATAGTTTGCTCTGCTCAGACCAACTGGAATACTGTGAACTGCCCTTGGCGATGTAGTTTTAAGGTAGACATTGACAGAATAGTTGACACTCAATAAATATTTGTTAAGTGAGCAAATATGTGACCAATGTGGTGAGTGGACCCAAAGTCATGGATTATAGAAAACTGGAAGAAACAAAAATAATTCACTTAGAGTAAAAGAAAATCCAAGAAAGATGCAGTGGATCCCCGTAAATATCTGAGGGACTGTTGCACGGCAGGGGGGTGCAGCGTGTTCTGCAGGGCCTCGGAGATCACAGCTGGGATGAGAGAAGAGAAAGCGTAAGAATATAAGTAATGTCTGGAAAGTAGTAAAAACTTTCCACCTTAAAAGTAATGAAGTTTCTTCTTACTGTAAGGATTTCAGAACAGCTAAGTAAGCACTCGTCCATGACACTGTGGAAGGAACTCAAGCATTTAGATGAGACACTAGACGATGAAGGTGATGAAGGTGATGACGGTGATGATAAAGTAGTGACTCCCACTTGGTCATCATTCCGTGTGTGTCAAGTACTATGATGTTTGCTTACGTAAATTCCACAAAAACACTTCAGTGCTCTCCAAGTGTAATTTTATTCATCGCAACAGTTTTTGAAGCTGGGTATCATTAGCGTGGCAAAGACTGCTAATAGTCGACCGGCATTCCTTCTCCCAGTCTTCCTTTTAGTAACTGAATTTCCCGGTCCGGTTTTAGCTACACCCGTGGCTGCCCAGCCATAGCCTGTTGCATATTTCCCAGCTTAACTGCAGTTAGGTGTGACCATGCAACCAAGTTTAGACCAATGCAGTGTAAGCAGAAGGGCAGTTGCAACAACATCTGGTTCATCTCTTTGAAGACTCTTGTCCTGGACATTCTCTGCCTCTTCTCGCCAAATGGAACAGGTAAATGACTGGAATGATCTTTAATGTTTGAAGAGGACTGATCCTCCTTGCCAGCCGAGCTTCTGGAGGAGCTCATGGAGCAGTCCACATACGCACCCTAGATGGTTCTGAAGAAGAAATAAGCCCTCTTCCCTCTGAGTCATTGTTTCCATCTCTTTTCTCAGTCGATGCTCTCTTACAATAAATTTCCCCATTATATAGTTAAGAAAACCGAACTTCTAAATGGTAAAGCCGTGTACAGATGAACACATCATTGATAAACAGCAAAGAAAAACTACATAGTGTATTCCAGATACATGCCTATGTCATAAAATACATATTTTAAATGAATGATGCGTACAAAATTAGATCTTGTTTAACTTAAAAATTAAAGGTGGAAAACAGAATTTAGGAAGAGTTCTTAAACATATTTCGAAACATATTTTGGAGAAAATGGTGAGGATAACAGAGTCTTTATTTTGTATACCTCTGAAATTATCTTGAACAATAATCAGTCTCCTGCTTTTTAACATCTTTATTTGCGTAAGAGTTCTTTAGTAGCCTCCTCACATTGCCAGCTATCCTTGTCTACCATTATATCATTCTGTATTTTAAATGATCAAAAAAATTCCTGTTCTTAATTTTATGTTAATTCATTTTTATGTACGGTGATTTTTAAAATATTAGATGGTGAAAACCAAAATATTCTGTTAGAGTCTCTGGATTGCAAGAGATCGGTGTTTATTAACTTTTTTCTTTTGTTAATTTTTTTGTTTGTGACAAGTTCACGTGCTTTGTCTTCCGCTCTGGTAGTCAGGCAAGAAAGATGATTGGAACCTGATCCGATCTCCCCCTTACCCATCACATGCACGGGCGCACTCCCGGCTGAGCTCCAACTTCCCCCTGCGCTCTTTTCACTCCTGTCTCCAGGCAGGATGCTGTCTGCACGGTGCGTGGTCTGCTGCCCGCACCCACACAGACCCCGGGAAGAGCGCGAGTGCAGGCGCTGGGCATTCATCTCAGGCCTCCCCCTGGAGCTCTGAGGCTGGGAGGGCGTGTGTCTGTGCCCATCAGCCGGAAGGGGAGGAAGGCCGTCACTTCAGGGAAGCCCACAGTAGCTTTCTCTGCTTTTTGCCATAAGCATGTATCTCTTTTCATCAGAGTTCACGCCAAATGTAACCCTAGTAGGTTGATCCTAATTGATAGTGGGACAGTGACATTACATCCTTAACGTCTGCCCTCCGAGGAGAGAAAGGGGACCCTGGTGTTACGGTTAGGCCTGCAGGCATGGCCTGTTGTTTTAGCGTTATTCTGCCAAGCTGTCATTTCCTGGTTGTCAGCTTTGTGTGGAGAAGGCGAAGGGTTTCTTTTAGAACTTATGTACTTACATAACCTCTCATGTTCAAAGTACGTGTCTAATAAACTGTAAGCTACAGAGTAATTGCAGCGTGCAAGCATTCTTGCTTATAAAATGCTAGCAGTTTATCCCTTAATTATAGGGAGTTTGTCATGTAGTTAATTACCACCGTCTATGAGGAAAAGTCATGATTTTTCTGAAAGCTAAGTAAATGTGAACATTCATCACATTCAGTTTTATGAAAAGAATTAATCATGTGTGGAAACTAGCCCATCATAGCTCAATGTCCACCGAATATTTAAGCTACCAGTCACTTTATTACAGCTGTTTGTAATAGCAAGTCATGAAAGGTCTAAATGTGTATCAGTCGGGAAGTATTAAGTCGGCTGAGATACATTCCTGCAATGGGATCCAGCACATTAGAGTGGGATGTTTCTGCTTGCAGGTTCTAGAGGTCAGCTGACTGGCAAGTTTGGACAACTTGGACCTTGGGCAGCATGCTTAGGCACTCTGTAACTCAGTTTCCTCATTCGTAGAATGATTCATACAATGATAGCTATATGAGTTCAACAAGATAATAGTCAGGCACTTGGAAGTGTCTGGCACCCAGGAAGCCCTTAATTATTACCAATTATAATTATTACTGCTATTAAGCATTGAAATGGATGGGGTAAATCAAGTTGTGGCAAGTTCTCCGATATATTGTAAAATATTTTAAGTTGATATATATATATAACGTGTCTGTATATGATGAAGCCGGTTATGCAGAATACCACACAAGCTATTTCTAGTTGGATAGGAGGGAGCACGTAGATGAGAGAGAGGAAGGGGAGAGGTACCTGCAGACACCAATGTGAGAGCAGCTGACATAGTGGACCTGGTTTTCTCTCCCGCTCTCTCCCTCTCTTTCTCTTTTTCTCTCCTTTTCTTCCTTCTTTCCTTCCTTTCTTCCTTTTCTCTCCTCTTCTTCCTATAACGAGGCTATATTCATGAGAAATTGTGTAACTAAATCATTATAATGTTTTAAAATGGTTCAGTGGTTTTCAGCTGCTCTCCAAGGAGACCTTTGGTCATGCTTCCTTGTATTGACTGCCGATATGTTCAGATTGACCGATGTCTCTTGGAGAAATTTTCCCAGAGTAATTTCAATCCCTGTGCCCTTTCCTTCTGACTCACACAAACCTTTTGAGAGTGTTTGGTTTATTTTCTCTGCACAGAGACCTTGGTTGTGGCTCACATGCCTTTATTTATGCCTCACGCCCTGGGTCCTGCTTCCCTTGGCACCCCTGTGGTCATCTCCTTTTCAGGTCCTGTCTGTCCTGGGGCCCTGACACGAGCTGTGGGCAGGTGGCTCTCGTTTATGGGATCCACAGTCCCACCCACAGAAAACCCCAGGGAGCCAACTTTCTTCTTCAGCACCATCACTCCTCCTTTCCAAACTCATCCTTTCCTGCTTCCTGCCTTCAGCAGCCCAAGTATCTCAAACAGAATCTTCAGTGGTGCTGGTTTCAGGAGGTCTCCAAACACACAAAGACACTATTCATTACTTTTGAGGGTCCGAGAAAACAGAAGTCTGCCTCTCCTTCTAGGAAATGGAGATGGAAACATTTACGTATTCATTAGCTTTACTCTCCTTTAT